TTAAATTTTTGATAGTCCATTATGAGGCCTGTGTGCCGGTAGTCTTTATATATGCCGGTAGGCTCGATCTCTATCCCGCATTAAATCACGTATTTCATCAGTTACCCACATTTTGCGTCGATTTGAGGTTCTTTATAAATGTAATAGAGCGAGTCAAGGTTTGGATCATTGAGTTCTCTAGTGATGTTGCTAGTTTGTGCACATCGTAAGATATGTATATTGAACTTAACAAGTGCGTATTTGTATTAAGATGAGCTTTGTGTAGATAATTTCGAAATGTTTCTAGTAGTACTTCGTTATTAAGGTGGGTCAATGAGCGAACGTAGATTAACGTGGAAGAAGGTGTAGGTTTAGAAAGATTTGTGTGAGGGTCTGTCCCAGTAAACTGCATGGTATGTAGGTTCAATGGATACTAGATGTAATCCATGTGAGTTTAAAATCTTTTTCATATAGTTTGATACGTGGTTATCTATGGACATGTCAATATTTAAGTCATCGATAATCACACTGAATAAGTACATTGGTAATAGTGTTCTGCGAGGCATGAAAAAAAGTATTTTGGGTAGGCTGACTTTGGGCGTCTATAAATAACTGAAAAGAGTAATTTACTATGTCTACTTTTCAATTGTAGTATAAGCAATTCGGATGTGTTATCATATTGCGCATCTGATTGTTTGAGTATGCGTACCGAGAAGGATACTTCAATACAGGTTGCTATTCCACCTCTCTCTTTTCCTAATTCGTCAAGATGATATATATTGTATCCTTCGATTTCTACTAGTGAATCAGAGTCCAGTTCGTTCAGAAATATTTCCGAGATGCCTACTTCTGTGTATTGAGCTGATTTTAGTTGCAATTCAAGGGTAGTAAAGTCTTTATTTAGCTGATTTATATTAATGTGCACTATTCGTAATCTATTGTGTTGCAGTTATAGCTGGACGATTTTGTGTAGTTAGTCATATAGTGGCTTAGGCCAAAATGCCTGGAACAAAAGAGTACCTGAGCCACTATCACCAAAGACGTTATTGTTAGTCTTATGGGAAAGCTTAAATGCAGATGCCAACAGTCTGTTTCTTGACTAGACTGACGCTAGTTAGATCATGTTGGCCCGTGTTTTTGGTGCTTGTGTTCGTTCTTTGGTATCTGCTTGTGCCTTCTTAGCTGGGATCCAGTTGCGAATTAATATCCCTTGGGGTTCAAGCTTTGAAGTAGTATATCTCTAAAAGTTTGGTAACAATACGCTCATTAGATAAGGTAACTGCTTGGGAGATACAAAAAAGAAGTACTTCTCAATTGTTATCGAATAAGGAATTGTTGTTCATTGCTCCCACTGCTGCTCCATTATTGGAAATATTTACGATGACGGTTTTGACTGCCTGAAGACGATTTGACATAGCAATAAGGTTAGTCGCCTGATGTCAGACTCGGTCTGTAAGTAACTTGACAGAGTTTGTTATACTTGTTACGTCTGCCTTGTATTGCTCCAGATAATTTTTGAACGGTTGTGGCACCTCATAGCCCTTAGTTGTTTTCAAGAGATAGTACGTCATGGCTGCATGTGAGCTAAGATCAACAAGTTCTGAGGTATTGTAAGTATTATGCGATTGTTTTGTTGTATGTATTGATGACGGAGAAGGCGGGTAACATGAGCGTTTTGCAGTACAAGAGGACCGGTTGCCTAATAAGTAGGCTATTTGTTGGTTTGTTAGAAGGTTCGAAGTAAGTAATAGATTCGGTTTCACAGTGGTAGTTGTTTGGAGACAGCAGATATAATCTAGATTCGTTTTGGTAGATGGTAAGCAGATGCTATGGTAAGGGTTGTGACAAGTGGCGCAGCTTAGGTTGGGCTTTTGGTTATTTCTCGGTATGCGCTTACAGCCAGCACAGCTGGTTTATTAAGCTATGCACGCGTCGTGAATATGTATGTGAAGAGTATCAAGAGCGTAGATGGTTTACGGTGTATTGAAGCGCTCAAGGTCACCGGAACATATAAGCTTGTACTACTTGCTGCACATAACTAGGACAGCGACAATGATATGGGATTGTACAAGATCAAGATATTGCCAGAAAAGTACCGTAAAATTGTAACTGTGATAATTGGGAGATGTTGGGTGGTAAGCCAGATTAATATTTCATACTTTTCTTTTGATTTTCTTTTAAGTTAAATCGTTAATCTTATATTTTTAAGAATTGAATAGATTCTTTGTAAAAAAATTAAACAAGATATATTTTTAATTTCTTAGGTTAATAAAAGATTTCCGAAGATAAAGTAAATTTTGTGACCACTGTCCGTCAGAGTAGATGTTAAATTGGTGAGTTTTAGTAGTGATTTAAAAAAAAATTAAGTCGTTGATTCTAGTACTTTCTTATCGCAAATGAGTTTGGAATGATTTATTTATATAATTCCAGAATTTCAGAGGTTTCAATCAAACCGATAAAAATCGCCCAAGCCACCTTAAACACTTGTTATTTTTAGACAACTACGTAATTGCATAGGTGAGTTAACTCTCTGAAATCTGAACTAATTATCAACTGATGTTAATACTCAATAAGAATAGTGTATAGATAGTACGCTGCAGAAATACAAGCTTTTATAGAATCTATAGAATAGTGATTTTCATATAGTGATACGGACTTAGTCATATTTACTTGCTTCGTGCAGCAATTTGAAACAATGAAATCTGCAGGGGATAAGATCTCAATGCTAACTAACAAGCATACACAGCAGCTTACAAGATAAATTACAAATCTTACAAACGTATAAGACAATGATAAATTTTAAATGTTTATTTCAACAATAATATATATTCAACAACTAAAAACACTTTTCTTAGTCCCAAGTAGGATATTAACAGCAAATAATGCTTTTTCATGATTTCATGAAGAAAAAGTAAATTTCTCGTATGAAACAGATATAATGTATGGGTAAGCATATTGAATATTACTGAGCATATTGAATTTTTCATGAGCTGATTTCAAAGTACTCCACAAAATGAATTGATTTTTGAGGAAAAGCACTGTAGATACTCGCGAAATACATGCACATGAGGTGAGAAAAAAGTTTTTTATTAATGCACTTTTTAATAGGTATTTTTCAGCTCGAAAGTATACTCCACACACAAAGAAATTATGTTAGTTCTGTAATATACATTATTGTTAAAATAAACGCTTGTAATATATTACTGTCCATAATACTCTGTGTATCTTTGTAAGTTAGGATCTACAACTTTATCTACGGGTGGCGTTGTTTCAAATTTCTGAACAAAGTAAATAAAGTGAGACCACCATCTTTTAAAGACTAAGCCAGATAAGCACATCTTGAATTTTCTTAGGCACCTTTCCCCTGGATAACTGGAACACGAATCGTATTACTTTTGCAACCGTTGAAAAATTTTATTTTTATGATGGCTATAGAGAACGTATATCATTGAGTAGTTTGCACGACTTCAAAGTTAAATAAATTTTTTTTTCTGTAACGAGCTATGAAAAATATAAATATTACTTGAACAAAAACAGTAAAAAAAATCCTTATTCCTGTGATAATAAAATTGTTTGTCTGGCTACTTTGGTAATAATCATAAATTTTACAGGACACTTATCCATGATATAAAGGATTTTTTTACAAAACATATTTGAAAATTGTTTATTTATGTGAAGTCCATGCTCCAGTTCCAAAATGTCTTGCTTACTATACATCATACACTTCAAAAGCATTTGATCTCTCCCACATTTAAAAAGGTTAGGTATTTGAGTAAAGACAGTTTAAATTAATTAAGAATTTAAAGTGACGTAGAATTTTTTGTGCGTGCTCCAGAAAATTTTGTTATAATTTAGAACAAATATAATTTGAAGAAACTAAAACTTTTTTACTGGAACGAATTACTGAACTATAATTGTGCTTGTGTCAAGTATGAGTGATTAGGTTAAGCTCGGATTGGTCGTTCAGATCGCTGACCTTACGTGTCCTCCCTCAATTTAGGAGTATAAGAACTCCTTATGCATACCAATGTTCGCCTTTTCTCTTCTATCAAGTGCTCTAAAGTAACTATAAAGTTGCAGAGTGAGTTCAGTTGCATTTTTGAAACGAATGCAAGACTTAATTCGATGATTAAGCTGCGTGTCAAAAACTTGCATTTTAAGTAAATGTAAAACTTTGTTTGGAGACTAAGCTGTATTAAAAAAGCTTGATCAAATCAGGCCACTGTAGACTCACTTAAAATGTGAAACAAAAAGGAACAAAAAAGAAAAGACCATCACTTTAGGTTCTAACGTAAAATAACAACCTAACTATGATTATCACCACGAGCACTCTCATGTTTGATTAGAACGATCATTGTGGTCAACCTTGCAAGATCTAGAGACTACATGCACATAAGCAGCGGCTGACCAACGATCATAGAAGTAAGTCAAGTTACGGAAAATTAAAACGAGTTTAAATACTGTTTTCTGGCTTTACTAGATTAATTAAAACATCAGATAAGATAGAACTTAGTTGTTGATTTAATTTATTTTCTAAGTTCACATATTTTTAAACCAAAAATTCCAACTATGAAAATAGAATTTTAGCTTTAACTGATAAAATAAATATACAACAAAAATAAGCAGAATACGTATGACAAAGATCATTACTAGGTCGTGAAATAAAAAAACGAATTGAAATACCTAACTACTACATTACATTCGACAGTAACGCATGCAGTAGGTCAATGTTATTTCAATGTATGACACACTAATACCAGTCTATACATAGTACTCGGTGAAACTTATCACCACAATACCAAGTCAACAATTTAAAAGGAAGGCATACTGTAAGTTAGAGCAAGTAAGGCTTTTGGGCCGATGACTGGTTTTTGATAAACAAAAACTTAATTTATTTGTTTGTAGAAACAATCTACGGGTTTTACTCTTTACTTAAAAGTATAGACTTAACAAATTAAAAGTAATGCCAAATTTATGAGAAAAAATGTATAATTCTTGTTTATGCATTTGCGTCTATTTTTTATTATAAAATATAGCCACGGACAATATTATTTTATTTTATATAACAAAGTATAAAGCAAAAAATTGTGTAAGTTTAAGCACTCCACTCGTGACGTGTTATTCCATGGTTATAAGAAGGTCATTGCCTTCAAGTTTTATTCCGATAGCAGTTTCAATACTTTTAATTTTACCAGCTTGGGGTGCCTGCACCACCATTTCCATCTTCATTGCTGAGAGAACCATGAGAGCAGCACCTTTTTCTACGATATCACCAATTTTTACATAAATGTCTATAACAGTGCCAGGCATAGGTGCCCCGATTTGACTTTTATCACTTTTTGAAGCTTTTGGATGGATATGCAGTTCCTGTAAGAATAAATATTAAAAGTAAAACTTTTGTACGACACAATGATATTTTTTAATAACAAATATGAAACTTTTATTCTTGGAATATTCTTTCATCGCTTTATATACGAAATCTTGGAAAGTAAAACTTTGGGACTGAAAATACAAACGTTTGTTGAACAACAAAGTTAAATATTGACTGTCACACTTCCTATTTTTTTAACCACTCTTATCTGCTAACGGAAACAGAAGAGTACGGGAAGGATCTAAGGAAAATTTAGTATATTAAATATATGGTATCACAGTTGTTCATGGTTCTTGTATCTCGGGGGCTTACTTATAGACACCTGTATATTTAAAATCAAATTTCATTTGGCCAAAAAAAATTCATCTAGTATCTAAGTTGCAGTGTAGGGCTACTGTTCTCTTTCAAACAAATGTTGTATTGGCTTTGCTTGAACTTGAATGAATATAAAATTATTTGAGTTTTATAACATATATATTTTTAGTTCTTTAATTTAAATATCTTCAATAAACTCTTATCGACAGTTCTCAGGTAATGGGGTTAAACACATTTCACCTTAACTAATCTTACAGGATAGAAAGATACAATTAAAAATAAGCTGAAATTTTTTTTTAATTTAGATCTTAAAATAACTTGAATATAAGCTTTGACTTTAAAACATTTTGACTATAGCAGAAATACTGTAAATAAGTTAAGTTTCACAAGATAATTTGTTTATTGAATTCAATAGAAAAAGAATACTTTTGCATAGTGACTCTTTTTAGACGTTCGATGAACAGAAACTTATTTGATTCTCGTTCTATTTATTGATTCTTCATTTTCTATCCTTTTTGTGAAATTAAATATTTATAAAAATGCTTGAAACTAAAAAAAGTAATAGTATTCTCGCTCATAAGCTGTCTTTTTGACATTATTGCTGTGTGCTTTCTAACGTACTACAAGCAAATCTGAATGGAGAAAAGTAAAACGTAGAAAACTTAGTGCCTTATAAAAGAATATGGCTGGACCCCAAATCTCAGCTTGATTTAACTGAGTAGTATATAGAGTAAAAACTTTAAAACCATCATAATGGTTACGACAAACAAAGTTTAAAAGTGACATGAAATGTTTTAATTAAAGATTAAACTTGTTTATGACGCCCCTTGCTGGAGTTTTGTGCATTGTATGTACATACATCTTTTGATACGTAATAAGATTTATTTTTTAACAATACACAGTCTAATTATTTCTGATTCAATAAAGAAACTTAAATCTTATGCATATAATTATAGGAAGATATTTCGTATTGTAAAAGGTACTTAATCTTAAGTAAGTCCATGATGAACCTATCATCATTGGTGAATTATATCTGGTATACTACGTCATTTAAAACGTGCAAAGTAAGCACATAGTGAGAAATGCCAAAGAACATGTTAGCCATGCTAACTAAGATAAACTGATTCATTCTTAAAATAAAAGTAATCAGTTCTCTACTTTGTTTCTGATTTAGTGCTTGATGTATTGAAGTAACAGTTAATTTTTATAAGTTTTTTTATAATAACACATGTCCAAATTTATGCAAAAAATCAGTTTTTATACATAAAGCACGACTGACATGAGGGAATATATGATTGTTATTACCACACTGTGACAAAAGTCGGTAATTTTCGGTGCAGGGTTAGTAAGATAGTTTATACATTCCACGGGACCAAGAGAGTCTTAAAATATGATGATTATCGCTATTTCCTTTAGCTTTCCCTCTAACGTCATTCGTAGGTCTTCTGAATAAGCTATTATTATATTAGTTTTTGAGATTAATGGCACTTATTTATCTTACACACAAAAATGATGGATACAAAGACATTATATTTTCATAGATCTATAAGTTTGACGTTAACTTTGTAATGTACTATTCAAAACGAGTAAGTGAGGTAGAGGAAAATGATATTCTCCTACTTTCGGAACTTTTTTCTACTTAGAGTACCAATTTGATGTCATAACTCAATATCTTAATTGCAAAAAACGTATATTTTGACAAGATCTATAAACAAAAAAGTTGGAAAGAGGAGAGTTATTTTTTATTAACTTACGAGCACTTTTTGGATCATAAAATGCTTGGGTTACATCCAAGATTAAAATGTTTTACACAAAAAAGGTGTATTTTATAAAATCCACAACTTTTATGTTTGATTTTATAACCCAAAACATAACAAAAATAATTTAAACAGAAGAAAAATGTATATTGGTGATTTTCAAGCACTGTTTGGCCTACAGAACGTTCAGGTTACTTCCTGGACAAAAGTGGTAAATACAAAAAAGTTATTTTTTAATTATATTAACAACTTTGTCTTTTACAGAAAACTTCGAAAACATCAAGTAACAAGGCTATAGCCAAGAAACTGTTTTTTTTTCTCTGAAAGTACTATCTTAAAATGCCTGCGATCGTTTTTCTAAAATAGGAATCCTTGCAAAACGTAAAAGATGAAGCTCTCTGTCAAATTTCAGCGCAAACCAATAAAAGCTGCATGAGTGTTAGTCAGAAAATTTGAATACTCTCATACACAAATACATATATACATACATACATACATACATACACACATACAGACACACACACACCCCTGATGCTGACATCCACGATCACCATTTTTTTTTACCAAAATTTTTTTTACACAAAAACAATAAATATCGATGGTACGTACACTTTCACTGGAAAAATCATAAGGCACTCTTGAGCATCCGTCGTACCTAAAAACTGCATAAGAAGAAAATTGTCCATATTTTTATTTTGTTTCATCAAAGAAAACTGTTACCTTATTATAAGGTATGTTGTTGAAAAACAATTTCCCACTTTTTGATAAATTGAACAGGAAAAGTTTTAGTAACATTATTATTGGTATAACAAGCCATATTTGTGGTACATGTGTATCATCAAATTTATAGCCACATTTTGATGGAAGTACTATTTATTGCACTCTCTATATTTTCTTACGATGACGTATTTTTCTAATTTAATTTTAAGAAAGCCAAAAACTATAAGTTTGGAAAAATGTGCTTATAAGCAATATATACAAATTATTTCTAGGCGTTTATAATGGATTTTTAATCATGAACAACAAAAGTGGAAGCTTCGTTATTTCTCAGCTATGCCTATCATAAAAAGTTGGCTTAATATCACCTGTTCTGTCATTTTTCGTGGAAACCTTTTTTTCTAATCTATTGATTGTATGATAATAAACAACGTATTCAAATATTTGTGAGCCATTTACTCTAGATTTCTTATTGTAAGCAATAGAAGTCAACACTCGGTTGTTTCCAACCTATGCGTATATTGAAAAATCGAAATACTATCACTTACTCCATCGTATTTACCAGCTCACATTAGTTTTAATACTTTTTTTGTATAATTATCGCTGGCTGATGATAACTTTATCAGGGTCTTAGTTCTAGATGTTATATAATAAACATTAGAAGTCGCAACTTGGTTGTCTTCAAGCACATGCTGACGATGAAAAAAAAGGAGAAAATCAGTCACATCAAATTTTTGTAATTTCTATGAATTTTTGAATTAGAGTATTTAAATGTTATTAGATTAGATGATAAGCAATGTATGAGTAATAGAGACTTTTTTTATGTGTTAGTACATTACGATCTAGGCCAAAAAAATAAAGAAAGTCTTAGTTTGTCCGTATATTGATAAATGGACGATCTGAGGCTTCTTAATTTTTCTATTTCTATCCGTTGTACGTATAAGACTTTTCGTACCGCTATGGCCAGGAAGTGATTACTATCATCCATGGAGCAGACGTACAGTACAATAACCAATTTACGGCCGCAGGTACGAAAATTTAATTCCAAACTCTTAGTCAGAACTTAGCTGTTTCCGTGCTATACGTATACTAGAATATCAGCGGAGAATCACCTGTTCCATCATTTTTCTGAGATAATTTCATGCTAATGCATTATTTATATAATACTTGTGTTAATTACATAAATAGTGTCTACTGTTTTTAGTGGGACCTTCGTTGTAGATATTTAATAACAAACACAAGAAGTCAGAATATAATTATTTGTAAGCTATTTGTATGATGGACAATCTGTAAAAAATGACTGATTCCGTCCATTTTTCTGAGTCAGAGAATTTCAAAATTCCTGAGGATAACTAACATTATTTTCAGTTGAGATAATTGAATCAATAGAGAGGTGTTCTCAAGAATCAGCTGAAAATTTTGAAAGAATGCTGTTGTTAATTTTCTCTGCTGCATCATTTCTTAGTAAAATTATCGCCCTCTTACATAACCATTGGTGCCATTCGTTCGACAAATTTTCAATATCCAAGTTAACTTCAGAAACTAGATCATCAACAGTTGTAATCAGTTTTCCAATTGATGAATCTATGATGATAAAACTGTTTTCGTTTACTATCGTGCTGTTCCCAATTTTTAACTGTGTTAGAAATTCTGTGTTTTCTCCACAGAGATATGTTCTCATATTAGTACGTCAATAAAAAACTCTACATAAAGTCACAAAAATGATGACCTTAAACATTCATGAATGATATCTGTTCTAGTTTCACTCGGAATTACTGGTAGTGTCTGCCTTAAATCACCAGCAAAAATAAATGTGATGTTCTCCATTAATGTCTGGTTTGATCTTAGATCTTGTAATATTCTTTTCACTTCAGAAAGTAGCAGCAATGCCAAAAGATCCAACATCAAAAAAAGGTTTCCCAGCAGATCTTGCTGTGGCCAACATTAGATTGATTCATAATGATTTTCTAGTTCCTCCATGAGTACCCAGAAAAAAGATTCTTCCACTACCATAGGCACTATTAATTATATAGTCATAAGCTTGTTGTTGATTTGGAACCAACTTTGAAAGATTTTGCTCAACAAATTTATTTAAATAGTAACAACTGTAACGAAGTCTGATGGAATTGATCTTGAACTGTTGCATATAGCCTTAATTAGGCGAAATTCTGTTCTGAAAGATAAATGACCTTGTTTTAAGTTGAATT